CGTCAATATATATGCAACAAATTACATGCACAATCTTACGGGTTAAGCTCTATGATTTAGATAACTATGATCTAGGGTTCACTCATCAGGGGTTGGGGTATAGTATCATGCCCACAAATCCGGTTAATTCGTGGTCCAGATAGCATTTTCTTACTTAGAGTATAATATCATGCTTAGATATTGACAATAGATGTGGCATTACACCAACAAAATGAAGATATTAGTATAAGTAATGGAATTTTTATCCCAAAACAAATACCAAAGATAAATAAATTTTAGCAAATGCATATTTGATAAGTTAGAAAATTATACACCAATGGACCATGTTAACATTAGAACCCTCGAAAGTTTGTGAGTACCTTGGACCGAGATTTCAAACCAACATCTAAACAACGACCATGAGTTGAGGGTGAGTCTAAATTAAACTTCAGGAATTAAAAATTGGTACATATTGTATAAGATATTAAATTGAGTGTCTTGATTGACAAATATGATCTTACACTAAGACAGTAAACTTTCAATTGGGATGACCAAATTTATCTAATATTGAAGTACCTTAATAAAAAAAATTCTAACTAAGTTGTCGTCATCTGAGCAATATCATTGGCTGAGAGTTCGTCCAAACTCGAGATTCATTGAATGGCAAATATTGTATAAGATAAAAAAAAAATTTGAGTATCATTGTTGACAAATCTTGACATAAGATTCTATATGGGACGTGATATATCTTTGTGACATGATTTATGATCAGAGAATCGAAGCATCATAAGTGAATGTGCTAAGTATTGAAAATTTTTAATTTATAGACGCACCGCATACTCATGTATGAATGCAAATGTAAAAAATTTAGAAGATCCAAAATAGTTTAAACATATAGATAAATTGATTAATGTAAATCATAAAATGAAACTCACCGGCCAACGGGCCGGGTAAAAAGCTAGTTAACATATAAGATGAAAATCACATAAGATCTTAGGATTAAATTAATATCTAAGTCCTAAATATTATCATCCTCACCCTCACTCTCACTCTTATCCTCATAAAATCATTGTCTATTTGCTTGAGCAATAACATCATTATTCCATATTCACTTGAAGTACTTTTAATGTCACTGTATTTCCTTGATTGCCATCACCGACAAAGGTAACTCATTGGTTGATACATTCCCTCTTAATCGAATGAAGGTGGAGGATGTTGGTACTAAAGGATTGAGAGATGAACAAAATGTTGGGAGGGGATGGGGATCAGGCTTACTGGGAGTGTGATGGGGGAACAAACTAACAAGCTAATTGGAAGGGCGATCATGGAACTCGTTGATGAAAGGAGTTGTGCATCGATGTTAGGAAAAGGAAGAGATGAGGAAGAGACGTAAATCAATTGAGAGTCGCCTTTCAGGTTAGGATTGTGTTTTCCATGTTGGGTTATGAGAAATGAACTTGACACGGATCGGGGACAAATCTGATGCCACCTGCCTGATTTTGCTCCAATTGACATGAACCTTGAAATCGTACAAAATCATATGAATTGTGGATTTTAAGGTCTTAAGTCGGAATGTTATGGAATTTGAAGGTTCAAATATTTAGTAGTAAAGTCAGGATCAGAACCCATAGGTAAGATCGTAAAATTGCAAGATTTTAAGAATAAAATCAACATTTTAACTACATTGGTTATGATTTATGTATGATATATAACAGAAAGAACAAAAGATGCATTGATATAAAGAGAAAATGTATCAAATATAGAAGTGATAAACACTATAAACACAGTGTCATCATAAATACCCCACACTTGAACTTTGCTTGTCTCCAAGCAAACACTACTCACAATCATACAACTCAATGAAAATCAACAACCATCACTTAACCATGATCTTAGGTAGTGGATCATAAGTGAACTTACAAGGTCGACAATAGCACGAGAGAATCCTAACCGTATCAACATGCAAGAACATCATGCATTTCAATCTAAGCATCAACCACTTATGCATTAGAGTAATAGGGTGAAGCATTTGATAAACACATACTCTTTTTCATTTTCCCAATTTTTCTTCATCAATTTTTTCTTTTTCTAAATTTTCTGGTATGGAGAGCTTTATATTTACTAGAGCCTTAAATGGTTATTGGTTGAGAAAGATCTAGAAACCTCTATACTTCAACTCTTGCGGAGGGTCAATGAAGTTAAGGGGTACCCGAAGTTCTATCCTTGCGCTTAAAAACACATCCTCAAGTTGGCTACCAACTCAACGGGTAAATATTTTACTTGTGCTAGAGAGAAACTGACATCACCTTGTAGGACTTCCCCACTAAAGATCAACTAGTATCTCGTCCAAAACCCAATTTTGTGCAATAAAAAGATGTCACATGCTTCTCTTCTTAATGTGAAGCAGATTCTTGAAAAGGTTTATCACTTTTCAACATCAGCTGTAACCCTAAAAGTGTGTGGTATTCTTTGGGGGAGTAGCCATGTTTACATTAAAAAATGCTCCCCGGGTTCAATGAAGGTATTCTTCCTGTTCGCTACTTTGAACTGCCACTATTCTCATGAAGCCTATCGAGTAGATAACTGGTAGGCTTCGTTCGTGGAGGGCTGATAAGCTCTCTTACACGGGTCGTCTTTAGCTCATCTTATCGGTTATCTACTCAATTGTTTAGTTCTGAATGTAATATCCTTATCTTGCATAGGAAGGTTCTTGACAGTATTCATAAGATATATACCGACTTCCTTTGGCGTGGAGATCGATAAGGGAAAGCCAAAGTCCCATGTGACCTGTGAACATTCCAAAAAAGGTAAGATGCTTAGGCATCAAAGACTTGTTTGTTTGGAATGTCACTTTCCTGGCTCTGGCTCACCTCCTTTGGATGATTTTTATGCGAGGGGAGCTTTTGTGTAGCTTGAATTGAAAGATTTTGTCTTAAAGGTCATTATCTCTGGACTATTTCTTCATCATTTATTTTCCCAATTTTTCTTCATCAATTTTTTCTTTTTCTAAATTTTCTGGTATGGAGAGCTCTATATTTACTAGAGCCTTAAATGGTTATTAGTTGAGAAATATCTAGAAACCTCTATTTTCCCAATTTTTCTTCATCAATTTTTCTTTTTCTAAATTTTCTGGTATGGAGAGCTCTATATTTACTAGAGCCTTAAATGGTTATTAGTTGAGAAATATCTAGAAACCTCTATACTTCAACTCTTGTGGAGGGTCAATGAAGTTAAGGGGTACCCGAAGTTCTATCCTTGCACTTAAAAACACATCCTCAAGTTGGCTACCAACTCAACGGGTAATGCCCCGTTTAGTATTCATTCTGTTTTTTGATTTCTGGACAACATAAAAGGGAATCTAAAGAAAAGGAATCTGTTGTTTCCTGGAAAACAAAATCTGAAGAAAACTTGTTTAGCTGAGAATTTAGAAGGTTCTGAAACTGAAACCTGGAAATGAAAACCTGTTTAGATACAATTGTTACAAGCTGATATTTGTTCTCAAAGAGAATCTTGAGTTGAACCGACATCGTACACTTAAGTTTGTTTTACTCCCTGAGCGTGAACTTATTCGTCACATTATCGGTATTCGTCAAATAAGACATCTTCTTCGTAGTGAATCTTAATAAAATTATGTATCACATAAATTCGACATATTCAATCCAATCCATTAGACAAATAAACTTTTGTTCTAGAGGAATTCAAGTTATGGACACCATCATCACACAATTACAATTTAACTTACAATCTCTGTTACTTTTCAAAAGAAGAAGGGGTCTCATTAAGGTGGCCAAATGGAAAAATAAACAAAGTATCTATAAAAAAAAACAAAGAAGAGGACAAAAGGAAAAAGAGTTCGACAGAGCCCAAATTTGCTCACCAATAGAAAGATGACGTTCTAATGTCCCTTAGTGACAACTCATCTAGGGAGGTATGTTCATCCCAAACACATAATTAATGCATGACTATCATTCTCAATAGAATCACAACTAGAGATAAGCTCAAAACATGGGATAAAATCTCTGATTCAACTTGCATGTTGTGTAACTCTGTTGAGGAAAGTTGTGATCATTTATTTGGTCAACGCTTGTTTGCTTGCAACTCTGCTGAGGAAAGTCGTGATCATTTATTTGACAATGCTTGTTTGCTTGTAACTTTCTTTGATGTTGTTTCTGGGTTGTTGATAACAACATGACCATGCTCATAGGAGGTCAAAATCAATGAGGCATATGTTGCTGCAAAATCTAGTGGTCCATTTTTCTAGAATTTGTAATTCCATCTAGTGTTTGGTTGTGTACTTCTTATGGAAAGGAGCGCGCAACCGATTTTTTGGAGGTCCTAGTCTTGATTGGCATGCTGTGTTTTGGCAGTTCAAAGAGGAAATTTTACTTGTGTCCATGGGTAACACGGACTTTTGTACAGATCTTACTAGCTTAGCCGCTTTTCGATATTTGATTTGCACCGACCTGTAGTCATCTTGTTAGTAGTGTATTCCCCGGCTTGGTTTTTTCTGGACGCTTGATCAGGAGAGCTGAAACTAGATTGTTTATTACAGAAAAATTTAATAAATATTCATGTGTCATATTCAAACATTTTACTTTGTGTCACCACACATTGCTAAAAACTTTCAATCTCAACAATAAATGTGTCACGTCAGGGTCAACTGTTTGACTGGATGAATAGTTAACGATTAGGATATTTTTTTTGGTAAATGGATTGATTATTATTTTGTTTAAATTCAAATTTCGATATTGCGCGATTTTAATACAAATATTATCACCATATCTTATGCCGGTTGATACCAAATAGTTTGGTTTTTTTACAAAGAACTATGAAGGATATATTTATAAGTAAGTAGTAACACAACCAAAATTGATTCATGTACGGAGTACATAATTATGTGTTCTTTTCTTGTCTCAAGGGAAGGGGCAAAATATCATCTCAAAAAAAAAGGGGGGGAAAAGGAAGGAAGGGGCAGAATGGGATGAAAAGAAAGACTAGGCCAAACGATTTCAAATGGGAGTTCAAACGGCTCGTTGAAACTCAAAGATTTCAACTCTCAAGTTGCCGTCATCCTCTCCGGGAAGCGTGAATTTCACCCTGCTACTATCCGGCCCTCTCGACCCGCTGCGACTACTGCTCTTCCGCAGACACGGCTTCAGCATTTTCGATCCTGAAGAAGAAGAAAAAGAAGAACAATCCAGCTCAGCACCACACCCGCCTCCGCCGCAGACTCGTCGGTGCCGCCGGCGAACGCCACCGCCGAACGAATCGATGTCGATCGAGAACGACGAATCGCCACGGCTCTCCACCGGCTCGCTCGACTCGGCATCCTTCTTGTAGTAGCTCAACGCCGTTGCCGGCCGCCAGATCTGAGGCGAATCGGCGCCGATGATCTCCGTGCGGCCCCCGACCAAGCAGTTGGGGAAAATCGGGTCCCGCAACTCGCCGTACCGGCAATCGACCTTCAATCTCTCGGATCTGTGCTTGACGAGCCGATCGAAACCGATCATCTCCGTGGAACAATCCGTAGATCCCCTTCGCCGCGGCCGGTCGGGGAAAGAAGAAGAATGCGCCGCCGCTGCCGCCGCGAGATTCGTCGAGTGCTGCTTGAGTAAGCGGTCGATGGTGTGGTAAGGGACGACGTAGAAGACGCAGCCGAGCTTGAGGAGGGAGTCCGGGTGGACCGCGATCCAGGGGTTCTTGAAAACGTCGGGTCGGGTCACGCAGTGGCGCGGGTACCGCTTCATGACCTCGGAGGCCCGGGTCGGGCGGGTGAGCCGCTCCACGATGCCCTTGGGGTGGACCAGCTTGATGAATGCCGCCGCCTTCCGCCGCTCGTCCTTTTCGGCCGACATTAACGGAGGAGAGCTTCTGATCTGGTTTTACCCCCACAAAAGCAGCCTGGAGATCGATTAGACGAGACACCGTCGCAGGCTTCCTCGCTTAAATAAATCAATCAATGAGTTGGGGCAAATTGCTAGCGGAGATTGGGAGGGAGAAAGCGTGGAGATTATCAATTCCTCTCCGATGGATGCTGTTCGAGGTGGATGGATAAAAATCCATGCCATCGGGGATACACTTCGTTTATTTCATTGGCATTTGTTTGTTTGTCTTTTGTAGGGAATATTGATCTCGACCGATACTACTGATGCACAAGGCTGCCGGTTTCTGGCTTTTTTTTTTTTTTTTTTATTCCCAGAAGAGACGAAACAACCTTATTAGTTTCGCTTGGTTTCCAGTTCGGAATCTCCTAAATTGGTGACGCGGCGGCGAGTTTGGTATCCAACAGCCTCGGACCGCCGGCGGCCAAGTATCAATCTCACCTCCAAACACAATAATCGATCAATGAGGATGGCTATTTCTGGATTAGTATTAGTAGTAGCAGTAGTAGACTAGTAGTATTCTGTTGTTTTAATAAGAATTAAAGTGCTTCCAAAATTTTCTTCTTCCAAAATTAATTTACACAATCTGTTGGAGAATGTTTCATTTTACTAGGTGGCAAGGAGCCCAATTTTGGGTTATTGGTGGTTGAGCGCGGAGGTGGCACATGTTAGTGGGTCATTACCGTATCGAAAAAGTTATTGGTAAGGTATTTTATTGCAAAATTATGATTTAATCGTAGTTCAACCGTTAGTATCGTTAAATACCGTCTAGCGATTTAGCCTCCAATACTGATATTTTATAGTAGAACCGTTGATATGGTACGATATCATAAACCATGATAAAATGGTCCTGAGGCTGAGGTAAAATCGCCTAAACCGGTTTTCCGGATACCTGTGTTGGAAAATAAGAATGGTGAGCCTAGAGAGTGGGGGAAGAGGAACCTCAAAGTTGAGAGGGAAGACAAGAAGAATGTTGACAACAAAGGTTGTCAAACCGGTTTATACCGTTGTGCCGGTTTGACAAGTGGAATGGTACGACCGGTGGTATAACCAATTTGTGCCGGTTCATGCCGGTTTAAAAAAATGTGAAAACAATTAATATCCAATGTATTTAATCATATATAAAATATATTTGTGGACAATTTAGTTACAATCAAACAAATATCATCAACTTTTAACTATCACATTCATAAAATGAATAAAAATTAATTTTTTTATTCATTAAATTCATTAAAATGATGTCATTTTACTTAAAATACGTAAGTCGATCATACCGGTCATACCGGTGGTGTCATGCCGGTTTCATGACCGGCACAGGTTGAACAAGGTTCAGCGATTAGTCATACGAAATGGAAAAGGCGAAAATATGTAAGAAGTGGGTCCATTGAGATTAGTCATAGACTCATTTGAATAAAATTATGTGTAATGTCTATTTTTTATCCAAACTTTTTTCAGATTTTTTTATATTATCCAAACCTATTAAAATGCTATTAATTAGCCAAATCTTTCGTAATGCATCAAAATATTAGTCATTTTTACATTATCGTTAATAATTTTGTAACTCTTTTCTTAGTTAAAATGATAAAATTGTGAAATGTTGACCTTCATGTGTCTCTTTCAAGTTGTTCAAGTCCGTATCAAGTTGCCAAGTCAATATTATTAACAAAATTGCTAAATGAAAATTAACATTTGGCTAATTCTTAGTATTTCGATAATTTTAGCTAATAAAAAAGAATCCGAAAAATGTTTGGCTAATAAATAGTCATTACCCTAAAATTATATGATTTCACAAAAAACCGTTTGGAAACCGCAAACAATCTACTTATTTGTTCACTGTATTTAGCTAATTTTTGTTGTGTTGTTAAATCTTATTGCCAATATAACCGATATAAACATAACTAAAAATATTTTCCGTCTCAGAAAACAGAAATTGAAAATATACTAAACACAGCCTTATGCAAAATAGAATCCATCAAAAAAAACTTTCCCTCCAGGGCTACTAGCAGGTGAAGTTACCTAAAAAACACATACAAGGAACGAAACATTAGGAGCAGATAAGAGTATGTGAATGACTGCAAGCTCAAGCTAGATGCGAGGTCTTGGGACAATGTCCAGTTGTCCAACAAGTGCATTATGCTTTAGGTTTGTTATGCAGCAGGTAAATGCAGAAAATTAGAAGTAATGCCAGCTAGAAACTACAATTTTACTGATCTCCCTTAGAAGTAATGCCAGCTAGAAACTACAATTTTACTGATCTCCCATATAATATGATATGACAGAAGCTTACCATACCTACCATTGACTATAGCTTGCCATTTTTATTTGATCCGTCCAAGAATGATTAATGGAGTCTGTGTTCTCTTGCTGGTTTCAGTGCACTTACCTAAGAGTCCATCCTATGAAAAGGGGAAGGAAGAGACGAAAACGAAAACCTCAGTCAGAAGATGCTTACCTCAACAAGCAATTCAGAACGTCATATCCCAGGAGTATCTGCTTCCACTGCTAATGACGGGGTCACTCCCTCCATAATGCTAAATTTGTGACTCCTTACATCCAGCAGAGAAGCCATCCTAAAGGAACTTGTCATTGATATAAAAGACACGACACTCCTATCTACAAGGTACAAAACTTTGATTCCGCTGTCACTGGTTTGCACCATATACATCAAATTATGAACATAACATTCTGATGTTAAGTGTGGCCTTGACTCTTGAGCGAAAGTGACCGCATCGACCTTATACATTGCTTCAGTACCAGAATTGTACAGAACATAACTCCTGGCATCAATTTACAGACATTCATACAGTTTTCATTTGCGTGGCCCTTTCTTCAAAAACTATATCCGAGACCCGTGATCATCGGATATCGTCTCTTCAGAAGATGCATCATCATCGATTGTGACAACATCATCTGTCTTATTAACATGGTACACTGAAGTCAAACTAGCTTTATTAACTCCATAACTTGTTGCCAATGGAACAGCAGAGCAGCAAGCACCTCCTGAAAGCTGTAGCTCACCTGGCATTTCATTTCTCACCCCAATATGTGTCTCAGAAGAATCTGAATATGGTCCAGTGATGTGTGTTACCCCAGGATGAGCAATGGATGAAATTACTTTGGTTGGAATTATTTCCATCAGCCTTGGAGGAGTGCTTACCACTTCCTTTAGCCAGTGGGGTAGATTACCTCTCGGGACCAAAGAAGTGAAAGGGCTACTAATTGGCAATGAGTTGCACCTCAGTTCACCTTTGCCATATATCTCTGCATGAATATCTGAACAGGGTGTAGCGCTTGGGTAACCCGGTACATAAACCTGCTCTTTCATTGCATGCCAATTGAATCGTGAAGCATGTTTGCCATCTAGTAATTTAATTTGTTCCTCCTCCCACTTGAGAGCAAGGTCCCTCAAAGTTCTAAATGGAGAAAACTGTAGTCTTGGGTCCCTTAAGATTGCAAGCCAATTGTCTCTGCCATGTCTTCTTACACCTATCCAAAGTGAATCCAATTCTTGGTCTGACCACAAAGTAGCATCTGGCCTGTCTTGAAAACCGCCCTGTGCATGCAAACGACTTGCTCTATTTGCAATCCTGTCCAGTAATATCCTTTGTCTAAGGAATGAACTTCCAACATTCGGGAAAGCTTCAGGCACTTCAGTGTGAGCAAATCTTATGTTTTCATCATTGGACTTCCAAGGAGGCAACTGGGGGCAGGGTGTCCCTGATGCATAGTCTCCCCATTTAGGGTCCATATGCAAGGATAAATCCAAATCCAATGAAAAACCGCTTGATATGGAAGAAGTTTGTGTATGTCCATTTTCTGCAGGAAGAACTTTCACTTCTTCCAGAATCATAGGTCCAGTAATTCCTTCTGGTTTAACACTTCCTAATGGGGAAGAATCTTTGCCTCTTTCTTCTGAAAACAGCTGGAGCAATTTGCATGGAAGAATGAGCGAACCAGTCAGATGTGAGTCGTAACATTTTCAGTACTGACTCTACGGGACCCCACAGTCTAACAGTCTAAAGTACCAAATAAAGGAGGTGTAGCCAAAACAGCACACACATACACTCACCTGAAGACAATTGTTTTTGGCCGCACCTTCTATAAAGAGAGGATAAGCTTCCCCTTCATCTTTTGAGTTTGGAACAATTTCCTGCATGGAAGTCGGCATGCCAATTGTAGTCGTGATTAGATGCACCTGATAAGAATCTCCAGCTCTCACATTTGAGCTTTCCACTGGTTCACTGTAAGAAACCTCATGAGCAACAGCAGCCTGGTCTATGCTCATGGACTCTTGAGAATCACGATGAGTTTCTGAAGCACCATTAGCAGCATCCTTCGAGATTTCCAAATCCACATTGAAGTTGGGTGTACAACCAGATTCTGTGATTGGTCATTGTTAGTAACTGGTACATATATATAAAAGAAACTTCAGATGTGTTCTATCAAGCAGTAGAAAGAAATAGTGGGAAAAGAAATAGTAAGCAAGCACATATAGCCTCTACTGGGAAGTGAAAGAATCATACTAGGAGCCTCGAGGAGATCTGGATACGGTTGTGTGCCATCTGTTCCAGAACCAGGCATGTTTTCTTTCTCAAGATTGCATGCAGAGACCTCAGGTTCCTCTTGACATTTATGGTTCTGTAACTGACCATCTAATACCGGAGAATCACAAGGATCTTTGATATCATCCTTCAGAACAATCCGTGAATAATCTTCAGCAGCGTCACTATTATCCATAGCAGTTTCAGAAATAGGGTGCAGCAAGTGGTCAGGCCCTGGAATGTCGTCCTTGCAAACACTTTCAGAATCACGCAATTCTTCTCCCTCTTTACCAAACTGTTAAAATGTATAATCACCATCAAATTATTAAATTGTTCAAAGTAGAAATTTAACTAGCAATGGTATATCCAAGTAACATAAACATACTTCTCAGCCTCCAGGGCGGCTCTTTCCCATTTGTCAGCAGAATCAAC